ACCTACTTTAGGACAGAGTTATGAGAATAAATGGGGAGGGTTATGTCAAAAAGCTCTGAAATATTAGTTTTAGGAATACATATTAAATATTAAAGAAATATCATCCTTTCCAAACTTCTTTCCATTTTTATGTCTCCTAAAACTGTTATGCCACACTAGACTAAAAAGTTATACTCTTACTTTCCCTGGTTCCCTATCTATGGGACTACATACCTCAAAAATAAACTCACAGACTAAAAATGGTCAACAGCTTTTTTGCTGTGAACAGGTCTAGGAATGAGGGAGTAAGGGATACCAAGAATAAATTAGAGAAGAATTTCCCTCCCTTCTTTCTTATTTACTCTCCCATAACTTCCTAGTTAGGAGTCCTTTAGTACAGACGACTGAGGGATGTTTCTAATGACAACTTAATATTAGAAGTGCTACTTTGGGAGACTCTCAGGAATGATGTGAATCCTCATCTGTAGTTTCACTTAAATGACACCAGGTATTGAAGCATTGTGACTCAGTGGTTTATGCAATAAGCTGGAAACTCAGGACCTGTGGGTTCTGGATATGTGTCTGACTTTTTTTTTTTTTTTTCAACTGAGCTAGTCATGTTCACTCCCGTGTTTTATTTAGTTTTTCATCTATTAATGAGGACAATGATGCCAAATTACCTCCCCGAGTTGTTAAAAAGAACAAAACAGAACTCACAAAGAGCTGTAATGCCACACAAGTCATAACAAAGGTAGTTTTCATGAGAAAATAGTTGTAAAAATACTTTAAAAGTTAGAATTTCTACACAGACATAAAGCATTACTTTTACCTGAGTAAGAGGGGAAAGGGATACCGTGAATATTAAACAGGTAGATAATTCTGAAACCCGTTCTGAATTATTGGTTTCAAACTCTCACTCCAACCCTCACAAACGTACTAAGAAGATAAATTTTGAAACTGGTATTTTGGCTTTCTTTTCATCACTCAGATCGTTACCCAGAGTGAAGGTGGCTAGTGAGTAGGGCAAGAGCCTAAAGAAGAAGAGACAGGAAGTAAAAAAAGTAAAAGGTCCAGAAAGCATTCATTGCTTGTTTGTTTAACTGGTTCTTATTTTGTGTTTTCTGGGAGCAAGGGCGATGTCTGCTATACTAATTCTGCAACACACTTTCCTGGAAGACGAAACCAAGGCTTGAGCTGAAGTGACACACCGGGCAAGAAATGGAGTGGACGTTTGAAACTTCCTCTCTCTCACTTCAGGGCCCAGGCTCATTATTCTTGCCCTATTCTGTTTCAGGAAAAGCAGAATTTACTTATGGAATAAATGCCAACCAAACCTGTATTGAAAAGTCCTCGTGAGTCAAGTTGTCCCAGAGAATCGCCGCATCTCTCTCATGGCCACAAGGGTCATATCGTGACATCTCTACCTATCTCTACATGCTTGCTTAATGTTCCTTTTGTGACTAACCAGATTCTGTATAATTTCTATTCTTACAAGGCCTGCCCTACCTAATTGCATCCCATGTCATTCAGCTTCTGCCCTTGCTGTTTAATGACTTATTCTCCCTAGGTTTCTAAGTTTAGATTCTGAACAGTGAGAACTAATTGGCCACGGTGGTGTTCGTACACCAGGTCACAGGTTGCTGCTGGCCAGTTTACATGGATTGGTTAATGTGGGTCAAGTGCAGCTGTGGCTGAGAATGAGGTGGTAATTTCTTGAGAACTGTGTGTAAAAAGGTCGGCATTCCGAAACTTAGCCTGGGCCATTTAAAAAAATCTAAGTAAGATCTGCTTCCATTTTCTTCATTTGGGTGTTTTTAAAGATACTGTCATTCTTCCTAACACCTAGATTGAAAGTCTAAAAAATCTGAACAGATTCAATTTTGTTGGAAAAGTAATGCATACATGGAAAAGTATTTAGAACATAAAAGGGTATACACATTGGAAATGGTCTCCTTTCTACCCAAGATTGTCAAGGACTTCCTAAAGGCAAATACAGCTAACAGTTTTTGAAATATCCTTCAGAAAAACTCTGTGTTCAAGCATTTTATCCACATTCCATTTTACATAAAAGTAAGAATACCATAAACACAATGCCTAGCTTTTTTCATTCAGTAAGTAGATCTTGGGACCTATTCCACATCAATATAGAGAGGTTTTTTTTTTTTTTTTTTTTTATTTTTTATTTTGAATGGCTTCAAAAAACTTAATTAGGGGCATCTGGGTGGCTCAGTCAGTTAAGTGGCTGCCTTTGGGTCAAGTAATGATCTCAGGGTCCTGGGATTGAGCCCTGTATAGGGTGCCCTGCTCAGTGGGGGGGGCCTGCTTCTCCCTCTCCCTCTGCCTGCGGCTCCCCCTGCTTGTGCTCCTTCTCTCTCTCTCTCTGTCAAATAAATAAATAATAAAAACTTTTTTTAGAAGACCTTAATTATAGATATGTGATTTTGTTTTTTAACCAGTGCCTTTTGATATGCAGGCACGTTGTTCCTACTCTTGCCATTACAAATAAGGCTGCAATAAGCATATATGTTTGTATATACAGTTGTAAATAATATCTATAAAATTTTCAGCCAAAACACACATGATGTTTCCATTTTTGTACATTTATGGCCAGACTCCTTCCAAAGACATGCAGATTTCTCTCACCATTTGTTCATGAAAGTTCCCATTTGCCCAAACCAAGCATAGCCCTGTGTTCTGTCACACTTTCTGATCTCTTCCAATCTGGTAATTTCAGTCCCTTTTAATTCTACCTTCTTTCTTGTCCACTAAGTCAGTCAGACAGTCACCTAGTTCTGTGAGTTCTTTCTCTATCTATGTCTTTGTAATTGCAGTGCTATGACCTTAGTTACAGCTTTTGTTGCTTCATATATTGGCTCCTAATGCCTCTTTCCATTCTCTCCCCTTATTAAGTCACAATTTATCCAAAAAATGCCAGATTATTATTTTCCTAATTTTTCCTTCTATTTTCAAAAATCTTTGGTGGCTTCCACTGACAATATGAAGTCCAAATCATTAGCCAGGCATTCATTCATTCATTCATTCATTCATTTTTTAAAGACTGTATTTATTTATTTGATAGAGAAAGACACGGGGAGAAAGGGAACACAAGCAGGGGTAGTAGGAGAGTGAGAAGCAGGCTTCCTGGGATCACAACCTACGCGGAAAGCAGCCGCTTAACAACTGAGCCACCCAGGTACCCCTAACCAGGCATTTAATGCTCTCCAGAGTCCAATCCCTACCTACTTTAGCATCCTCATACGCATATAAAAGTTCCGATTCAAACTTCTGCTTTGCTGTCTTCATGTTTTTTGTTTCAACACTTCTTTTACCTGGGAGTTCTTTCTGTTTAAACCCAATTTCACATGTCCTTCATGGTCCCCTGTGACCACAGCATGGGCTAACTAGTTCACAATTCTCTCTTCTCAGAATTGTTAAACCACTCAACATCTGTATCACTCATTTGGTATTTAGTAACTCACGATATAACTAAGTTTATTGTTTTCCTGTCTCCTGAACCAGGCTATAAACTGTAAGAAGCCATCCCTAAAACATTTTTGTATCTCTCTCACACACACAGCACAACCCCTCATATTCTGAGGTGCTCAAAAATTGTCTGTCTCAAAATGTTACCTAAGTATACTAAAATGAGGAAAGCATTGGCAAAAGAGTTGTAATACATAAGGATACTTTACATTTGTTTTCCCTAACCTTTATCAGATGCCAAAGGTAGCTGTTAAGAACTCAAAAACCCTCATGTTTTACAAGAAACAGAGGGAAAATTGCCAGTAAGAGGAAAAGTAAAAATACGCCAAAAACACTAGCTAGAATGAGACTCAATAACTCAAAACAAGTAACACTTTCCATCAGACTGTTAGACAACTTGTCTAGCATACAGTCTTTATCACCCTCTGGTTTGTTCATTCTTTTGATATATCAAAAGTACAGGCACTCCTGATCATCTGTCCATTTCGTTACTTAGAGTCTAATTTCTTCCCCAGTTCCAGGGGAAAAGGGCTACCTATAGTGAGCTGTCTTAGTAGGTGAGCAAGCCCAGATCCTGATCTTTTCTTATATCCAGTGAAAACTGAGTTTCAGTATCTGATTAAAGTAAAATACTCCAGACCCTGGCTTCAAATAAAGCTTACTTTAGAAACTGAACTATTCTTCTAAGTGAATTTTTAAATACAGAACAAAACTGTATCTTTTTATATGCACGTACAATATACAAATGTGTACGATTTAGAAGGGCACACTTGGAAATGCATATTTCAGAGAGGGGGACTGGATTGGTACACATTAGTTATTATTTTAAAGAGAAATATTGTTCTCTGAAACAAAGAGAAAAAAAACTGTGTCTACCTGTTTTCTTCATGGAATTTATCATTAAATTTCATAGTGGTTCTAAACATTCATTTGGGAAGAGGGGGCTAGCACTTATGGTTCCTATTTAACCAAATTCCCTAAGCTTATCTGTAAAAAATGTTTTCTGCAGGTATAAGGGACTAAAAGAATTCCACGGATCAAATCCTTCACTTCTGCCACATTACCACATGTTTATCTTCCTTAGTAAGAGGCAATATAAGTGTTGTACTGAAACCAACAAGATTTGAGTTCTAGTTTTGGCGTTATGAATATGCTGAGGGGACTAGACAAATCGCTTTCTTTGTAAAATAATGAATTAGACTAAAACAGATGTTCTCTGATTACTACAAGACTTGCAAAGATGTATAAAGTTTTATACATTCTATGGAGAGACGTCTCCTAATCACTTTTGAAGGGCTGTGAATCTAAGCGCAGGACAAATTCCCTTTCATTCAGCAAACACTGAGCCCTCGCCTCATGCGTGGTAGGTATGAGGATGCACTCCAAATCTCAGGTGCTCACTCGTCAGGGTTTCGACGGATTTGCAAAGTCCTTTCACTCAAGAAACGTTTCATTTCTCTTGGTCGTAGCCATTCCTAAAGTGGCAAGGTGTATCTGCCGTCAACAGTCACCAAACCACTAGTAAGATGAAGACATACCGGCTGTGAACGCGGAGGTGACACTACAGTTCCCAGCATGCCTCTCCATCCCACCGCCGCCCTCTCCCGCCCCCACTCCTGGATTCCCGCGGGCCGGGACTTGTAGTCCCAGCCCACAGCCGTGGGCGGGGCGGAAGCACTCTAAAAATATGCTTTTCCCACTAGTAGGCCAGGAGCCCGCAAGTTCCAACTAAAATCTTATGCGACTGACTAGGGTTCACCCAGCTCAGAGGCTAATTCCCTCCTTCCAGACTTCCTCAAATTTACATACAGCTCGACCGAGACCACGCCCCGGAAGTAGAGTCAAGTTGCCCAGCCGACAACCAAGAGTCTTCCAGCCACTCTGAGAGGGGCTGGAACCAGCGGGGCGGGCTTGGGGGAGTGGTCCAGAGGCGAGGTGGACGGGGGCGGATCGGGCGTCCCAGCGCCTGGGGCGGAGCCACAGCACGGGGCCGCGCGTCTCGGTGGCGGCGGGGCCGCGCCCGTGGGGAGAGGCAGCCGCGGCTGCTAGTGGGGGGGGGGGGGGGGGGGGGGCCGGGGGGGGGGGGGGGGGCGAGCGGAGAGCCTTGTTCCTGAGGCGGTGGCGGCGTCTCCAACGAAAGAGGAGGAGGGCGGGGAAGGAGGATGGAGCAAGCTGGGGGTTGGGGCTGGCGCTAGCCGCAGCGGCTCGCCTCGTACTGTGGGAGAACGGCGGCTGCTCCTGGGAAGTTGTGTGGTCGGGAGCCGGGCTGGTGCCGCTGCTGCCGCCGCCTTAGGCGGTGGGGAGGAGCAGGGAGCGGCGAGGCTTGGCGGGGGTCGAGAGGGAGGGGAAGGGCTGGGGAAGCGAGCTGGGGAAGACTGAGCGGGCTCTGCGCCGGGCGGGCGGGCGGCGGCGGGGGGGCCAGCCACCGCAGCCGGGGGGACGCGGGAGGATGGAGCAAGTGGAGATCCTGAGGAAATTTATCCAAAGGGTCCAGGCCATGAAGAGTCCGGACCACAATGGGGAGGACAACTTCGCCCGGGACTTCATGGTGAGTCGTTCCCCTTGCTGTCGCCTGCTCTCGCCGGCACCGGAGCCCACCACCGCCTCGCCCGGCCGGCCCGGGCCGCCAGCGCTTTGTGTGCGGCTGTGAGGAGAGGGGCGGAGGGGGGCGCGCACCGACTCCTAAGGCCGGGTGGTCTCGGAGGCCGGCGGGAGGTGAGACCGCCGCTGTCCCTCGGCCTTTATTCCACCCCTCACGCTTTCGCGGCCCCGTCCGCGGGCGGCCAGGGCGCGAAGGGAGCGGCCCCGGCCGAGCCCGCACTGTGCACTGCCGCCCGCGACCACCTATTGTTTCTCGGGCCGGGAGCCGGAGGAGACTGAGGTGCAGACCCAGGGCTGGGGGACTCGTCTCTCCACCCCCACTCCTCATCCAGCCTGCCCCTCCTTGTGGGGTCGAGGCAAGGTGTCCACCCATGGAGGAGAGCAGATCGCGGCTGATGGAGGGACGGGGGTGTTGAGGTTAGCATTAACTCGTGGGGTCCCTTTGCTCAAGCTGGTCTCAGAAGTGGGCAGGGTAGGAGTTCTTCCGTTTTGGGGTTCTCAATTATTATCTCCAAGGCTTGGGAAAGGTTTGTCCGTAGGGAATCCCGTGGCTTGCCCGGTTCCATTTACCCTCGTCCCACCTCTTGTCTCTTGAGACTCAGGTTTGAGATGGCGTTGGAGTCATGGTGACTTTAGGTTAGAGGGTTAAGTGTGTGTGTGAAGGGGTTGGTTATCCTGAAGGAAGCCTACTTCGGACTCCCTAGGGGATATTGTGGAAGGCGGAGGGGATGTGACTATCACTTCCTATCCGGGGTGGGGGTGGGGAACTTGGGAACAATAGTCCTGGTGGGGCGGAGGCAACGAAACGGGCCGAAGCCCTGAACTGGGAGATAACCTTCTCAGCCCCCCCGCCCCCCCCTTTCCGCCCTCTGCTTGGGCAGGCAGGCTGGAGGGGAGGTTAACAGTCTTGTTCGTGAAATTGCTCTAGATACATCACTTATGAGGGGGTCAGATCCAAAGGCGTGGGACCAGAAGTCGACTTCCTACATTGCCCCCCCACCTTTTATTTTTCTGCTGGACAATGTTCCCTTTAGGGTTGTTTCTCGGCTTAGGAGGCGGTGGTTGCGGCTGCTGCTCCTACGGATATTGCGCAAGACTGGGGCGTTGGAAACTCTGGAGGTCTGGGGAATGGAAAAGGAAGTGGGACTTTGGGAAGTGGTTGCTCCTTAGCCTTGGCGGCCTTTGGGAATGGGAAATAAGCTAGGGTAAATTTTGCTCCTGGACAAGATACACCTCCAAGAATAATCACTTAACTCCGAAATTCTTGATTGTAAAAAGGATACACAGTTAATGTCTATAAAAATGAATGAGCAGCAAACATTGGCTAGTTTTTGTTTCAAAGAACAGTTTAATTACAAGGTGCAGGTGAAATGACTTTTAGCACTGAAATACTTTCTCACGTTTTAAAGAGACTAGGTAGGATCTAGTAAAGTTTTAGCATTAAAATTAACCACTTATAAAATAGATCATTGACCTTATACAATATTATAATAGTATTTGTTGAGCTTTGTGATTCCCGCCTTCCTAGACCAATAATAGAGAATAGGAGTAAGATTTCAAATCTTTTGAAAGTGGAAAAATATAGATAAAACAATCTATGCTGTATTTTAAACCTTTTCTGTTGATATTTAGTCTATGTATTTTTGAAAAATTAATTTTTGACCCATGGAAGGTAAAGAAAAAAGGACATTTTCTCTTCTTACTAGTGAGAATTTTTATTGTGTTGGTATCTTTTGGATAGTCACTTAACAGTAATTGGATGGAGTCCCCTTTTCGCTACTTTTTAGCAAATAGAAAATATTTACTTAGGATAGTTTAAAAGCTTAAAACTAGTTTTTTACAGTCTTATTTTCGAAGAAGAGGTGGTGTGGTCCTTGGTCACTTCTAGTTTGCTTGCTAGTCATCTTGTTATCCCTGGGCATATCCTGTCAGGAAAGAGCATTGTTTGGTGATGAAGGCCATCAGGACAGGTGCCCAGTCTCTGAACTTCTGTACAGGGGAAGTAGCCTTGGGGTTCATGCTTTGGGGAGGAATCAGGGATTCCTATTGGAGATTTCATTTCTGAAGGACTGAATGAGTTACTTTTTTCTTCCATAATACTTAGGGATAGCTAGGTGATTCCACATTCGAGATTTGATGACTAAGGCTATTCTTTTATAGTGCTTGCTTTTTTTATTCCATGACTTGATAAGCAATAGCTATAATTAAGACTGATAGATGGTGCTGCTTTTTCCCTTGAGTAGAAGGTTGGAGGGAAACCATGTTCCCTCTGCCATGGAAAGAGAGTAGAAGATCAGCTAATAATTTTAAGTGTTCTGTTATTTAAATTGTTATATGGATCAAAAATGCATTTTTAAATTTTAGCATTTTAGAACTGAGCCTTAGAAATAATCTAGCTACTATAATCCTATTCAATTATGAAGTACTAGTGTTCATTATTTCAAATTTGGAGATTATAGAATGATAATTAATAATGCCTTACTCTTAAGAAAGTGGGGTGGACATCCAGACTGTGTTCTTCCCATTGCCTTACTCTTAAGAAAGTGGGGTGGACATCCAGACTGTGTTCTTCCCATTGTTGTATCCAGCCTTCCCAGTCCCATCACCCAAAGGTGGTCTCTGTTAATGTTTTTAATGCATCTGTGTGACCATGCTATATATTTCATTTTATATTGTTGGGGTTTTTTTTTCCAACTTAACATTTTGATAAGTGTTTTTCATTTGTAAAAATCATTTCAGTGGCTGTATAATATTTTACTTGGCAACTTTTTTTAATTAATTTATTTATTTATTAATATTTAAATAAATATATAATGTATTTTTATCCCCAGGGGTACAGGTCTGTGAATCGACTTGGCAACTATTTTACAGCTTAACTATTTTCTTGTGGTTGAATGTTTAGGCAATTTATTTTCTATTACATACTATAATTCTCTATTGAACATTTATCGAAAATTTCCTTATTTTGGATTGTTGCATAAGATATCTTCCAGTAGTGGAAGTACTAGGTTAAAGAATATGAACATTTAATACAGGTTTATAAATAACTTTTTGAAGAAGTTGTATCAGTTTATACAACTGTCAGTAATGCATGAGTGTTCATTTAATTATCTTGATCTTTGATAATTGGATGGTTGGGAAATGGTATCTTTTATTAATTTGAATTTTTTGATGACTAGTAAGGATAGAAAATTTTCTACTTGTCATTAGCTATTTTTCGAGTTGTCTGTTCTGGGCCTTGGTGTGTTGTGTACTCCCCAGCCCACCCCTAAAGAGGAGAAAACTAAGATATTGAGATGGTGTAAACTACAGCACCAAGATGATTCTTACATATTGAAGGTTAAACATCTGATTTATGGCAGATCCAGAACTCGGTTTCAACTATCTTGATTTTAAGTCTTTTTTGCAAGATGGCAGACAGTGATCATGACAAGCAAATGTATATGGTAGAGTGCTATGTATTCATGTTTGGAAAACCTGGATTTTATCTCATCTCTTTCACTGTCCAGCTGTTTGACCTTGAGCAGGCCACTTAGAGGAAAATAGGAAGAATGATTTGTCTCGCATTTTAAAGAATAAAAATGCAACATACTTCACAGGGCTGAGGTATGGGACTCATATTTATGGTCATCATCTAACACATTATTGTACTAAGATCTCTGGAGACTTATACAGCTGATTTATATAGTCAGTTACAGATAATTGGACATAGAAGGAAAGAGGTATCTGGGCTTTTGTTTTCAGCCGTTCTCTTGTGCTTTTTAAAGCTTTATAATGTCAAGAGGCACCTGGCTGGCTAATTTGGTTAGGTGGCCAACTCGATCTCAACTCAGGTCTTGATGTCAAGGTCATGAGTGCAGTAGCCCCCATTCCCCCAGCTCCATGCTATGCATGGAGCTAACTTAAAAATAAGTAAGTAAATAAATAAAGACTTATAATGTCAAAAGCATTGAAACAAGAAGTAGATTTCTTTTGATCAGACTAAAATTTATCTAATTTACATTTAACGCTTGGGTATTTAAAAAAAATCATAAAAGATGACACTTAAGCTACAAGCAAATATAGCAGTTTGAGCTTAAAAACCAGTTCTCTTTCCTTTTCTGAAGGTGAAAGCAAAAATATAATGAGTGAATTCAGTGGAGTATTTAAAAAACAGGATGCAGTAGAGATGTGAATTCTAGTACTT